GTGTGCTGATGGCACTCCTGCTACGCAGTAGAAGTTCACTGGGCTTGCCTGAGACTCACGGCTGTGAACAAGATGTGGCTTCTCGCTCGGGTTAGTTGGGCAAGCACCGGGTCCCTTGTTGCCGCGGAACTATTCGACCGATCGATAAATGAACCCGATCGGTCATGTGATTTTCGGGCCGGCACAGGAGGAGGATAGGTTCCGAATCCGATGCGACCTGTGTTGGCAGAGAATCACTCCAAGAGAATCAGTTATGGAGCGGTGCGCCATGTGGGAAATTCCGAATGGAAAATGCTCAACGCTTGATCTGTCTGAGATACACGCACTATTTTTCGAAGCGGGTTCCGTAAACAGATAATCATAATAAAACTTTAAACTTGTCTTAATAACGGGCAACAATATCCCTTAATGTAGGCCCACGCAAAACTCTTCTTGGAATTTTACTAACTGTTTTTTTTGCATTGAACGATCTCGCTAGTTACGTCAGAGATAGAATTGCAAAAAAAGGAAGAACAAATATTACGGAAAAACATATATTCATATTATAAAGGCTGTTCCATATGTTTTCCATTCTGCTGCTTGCATAGCAAAATCCTTCAGGATAGTAGCAGTTGGAATACTTGAGCACTGCGCTGCAATACTATGTTTAAGCTTCTCAATCGTTCTCGGTTTTCGGGAATAAACGGTTCGCCTGAGATATAATCACAGAAGGAAATCAAAGGGAGACAGATCAGGTGATCTTGGAGGCCATTCCTTTCGTCCTTCTCAGCCAATCCATCTGCAGTGAAATTCCGAGTCGAGGAAACATCTCACCATCAGAGCATTGTGTGGTGGTGCACTGCCATGTTGGAACCAAACTGTAGTATCAACTTCAGTTTCAATACGCCGGATGGCAGGTATCACATTACCATGTAACATTTGCAAGTATTAGGCGCCTTAAACAACAACCTATACTCCTTCTGTGCCGGACCGAAAATCACACGACCGATCGGGTTCATTTATCGATCGGTCGAATAGTTCAGCGGCAACAAGGAACCCGGTGCTTGCACAGCTAACCCGAGCGGGAAACCACACCTTGTTTACAGCCGCAGATCGCGGAATATGATCCAATTAGATCACAGAACGAGTCAGAGCGAATTTACTTGTTTAAGGTCACGGGTGAGAGAGGGACGAGACGATGGTAAATGACGGAGCAATCGCACCGTATATAAAGATAATTCAAGTTACTTATAACATAACCGGATGCAAGTAAAATAATCCTATCACGATTTCAGAACCAAGCCATCAGAACACTAAACGTACCCAGTTCTTGTTTTTGCATTGCACTAGGTGCGGTCACGTGATGATCGTAGATTCGTTTGGCAGAATCCATTTCAGCATCGAGCATTTGAATGAGCAGTTTGTATTTCGGTTCGCAGACCTCTTTAATGATTGGCCGTTCCATGAGACTACTCAAAAGGGCTAATAGCTAGATACGAATGAGAATACACACGTAGGGAAATAAGTATTCATTTAGAAGAGGTTATTTAAACGAAGAAATAAATTATTTTTCTTATTTTTCTAGTCAGTTTATTTATCTGTATCACCCTACGCACAAAGGGATGTATTTTTTTTACGAAACAACTTCCCGAGTGCGAAGTCGATAAATGATAAGATCTTTTAGGACTCACAATTAATCTTTGTTTGTTGTCTGTGATTGAGTAATGAAACAACTCCTGCACAAACGTGAGCTGAACAAATTTTCCAACTAGTTACATGTATTTTATTTTGCAAACCCAGAATCAGCCCAGCACTGCCTCAGCGTTACGGTATGCTGTTCACAAACCTGATTGAGAATACACTGTCACATCGCCTCGTAGGCTGTGTTTAAGACGACTTAGTGTTGTCTGAATTTCCGACTTCCTGAATATTGATTGTTTGATAGTCTATCCCATACAACAACAATAAAAACAACAGCAACAACAACAACAACAACAAAACTCGGTTCTGGAAAACCTAAATGAACATCAGTATATTATGCGAGGTTTTCTTCATCATCATCATCATCATCATCATCCGAGTCATCATCATCATCATCATCATCATCATCATCATCCGCAGCAGCAGCACTATCATCCGGAATATAATAATCACGCTTGAAGTCATCATTCGAGTGCCAGTGTTCACTGTAACCGAATTTAATAGTGTCTGTCAAAGTGAGGTATTGAGATCGAAAATCGACTTCAATACATATTTTCAGTTCACCTTTAAAAAGTGTTCAGATGACGGACTATCCTCCATGGCTTGACAAATAATACTGGCTAATCGATAATCCAGATCTTTCACATCCGACTCGAAAGAGTGAAAATCGGCAGCGAATTCCTCATTGAGTGGATCCAGTACATCGTACGTTCTTTCGCCGAACACCTGTCAGCAAATAATGTAATAAGAATTGATTATACAAATAAATAAATTATCAGTTAAATATTAGCAAACAATTTATACGACAATATCATCAATCCTGCTGATTAAGTTATAATACCAGAAAGTGAAACAGACAGGGCGTGAGAAATAGCTTGGATGGGCACGAGCTGGCTGTCTTCTTCGTGAGCTCTTCTTCTCTTGGTCTCATCAGTACCCCAAAATGCTTTCATCATTAACTTATTTAACAGGAGATTTGTGTTGCCTTAATTCCACCGATTCTACTTTGATAATTAATTTATGTATTTGTGTTGAGCTAATACGCGGCATCAGGTTTTCCATAAAATGTCGGATGTATGCTACAGAAGTTCAACCGGTGATACTACATGGTGTATGGACAGAGTTGTTCAGGAATAAGATAAAAATAGAATGTCAGTGCATGAATCCACACGTTGCCACATTGCATGGGTCTGGTCGGGTAACCGGACAAGCAATGTGGGGGTTGGGTGTAGAGCTTTAGACAATCGCGATCGCCTACCGGAATAACTGCTTGAGTTCTCTAGATTGCGTTTACTGACAATTTTACCGGGTAGGAAAAGTCAG